CTTTCTTACTTTGACATCTTTTGACTCAATTTTTATGCGATGCATAAAGACCAAAGCTCAATTTATTTTGGTTGATTGAACTTGAACAGTAAGTTATTAATACTTAAATTAAATTGTAAGTTTGAAATAGTTAACTGCATTTGCCCAATAGCCCCTTACTCTAGTCAAGGCATATTGCGGCAGTGTAAAGAACTATCAAAAATTCGGTATGTTACATTTTCGGTTTTCGCGTCTATCCTATCAATGGCAATCACTTATGATGATAGATAACGCATTGCCGATTTTCAACATAGTCGGTTTTGCAACTGATTATGTTGAACCCAACCGTAATTAGTGAATTTGGAACAATATTCAAAGGAAAGTATATAAAAATGCAAGAATTTGGCGTTATAATTTGAAGCTGTTATAAAGTTTTCAGAAAGTCTAATTGAGACATTGACAATACTGCAAACACGCCAGGATTCAAATGGAATTAGCACAGTATGGTATAGGTTAAAACGGAGGAAGACTAGTGCATTTCTCTGAAAAAATCCTTTGAGTAATTGATCTTGCTTTTTATGACAAATAGTTCAACGATTCCATCCCCAAACAGAATGTCTAGAATCTTTCTAAAAATTACGCTGTCACTTTTTTTAGTATGTCCTTGATGCAACTTTAGTTAAAGGAACAAAACTGTTAATAGAGGAAGGAATGTAAGAGAGCGTTATGCAAACTAGGGGCGGACTACACACGTTCCTATAAAAGCGATGCATAGTGTAGAAAGAAGGCAAGCATGACCGGCGACGAGAAGCACTGGGAGTCCGAAGCTCTCTCTCTGAGGAGAGTCGCCTTCGTTGGCGTTGCCCTCTCCACCGCGGCCACTCTCGTCTGCATCATCTCTGTACCGATGCTCTACAACTACATGCAACACATGCAGTCGGTCATGCAGAACGAAGTTGATTTCTGCAAATCCCGCTCAGGAAATATCTGGAGAGAAGTGACTCGTACTCAGGCAAGTCACAACACCTTAATAATTAACTCGTATTCAGTGCTCGTATTCTAGGTTCTCACCCAGGCCTCTACTAGAACACGTCGTCAAGCTGGTGGTGGTTGCTGCGGTTGCGGCG